TTAAAATGAGATGTTTATCCTCTATTTGATTATGTTTACCCGCAGTTAGTTACACGAATTCATGAAGCTTTAATAAGTTGTACTTGTGCATAATTTACTTGTAATCTGAAATTTTAATAATATGAATCAATAAACAGTACTTCAAGTATAAAAAATAGTTTTAAGAGTTTTTGTCAAATGCTTTATAATATAGTATAGATATTTGGTTTAATAATATAATTTTCTTATAAAGATAATAATTAATTATTTTGTTAGAACTCGATAATTATTCTAATTGTATTTTAGATTTTTTAGAATTAAAAATGAGATGTTTATCCTCTATTTGATTATGTTTATCCGCAGTTAGTTACACGAATTCAAACATGGAGCTTTAATAAGTTGTATTTGTGCATAATTTACTTGTATCTGAAATTTTAAGTAGTATGCATCAATGTACAGTACTTCATGCATAAAAAATAATTTTTAAGAGCTTTTGTCAAATGCTTTATAATATACTATAAATAATAAGTTGTACTTGTACATAATTTATTTGTAATCTAAAATTTTAAGTAATATGCATCAATATATAGTACTATGCATTAAAAATAGTTTTTAAGAGTTTGTATCAAATGCTTTATAATATAGTATAGATAGATATTTGGTTTAATAATATAACATTTTATAAAGATAATAATTAAGTATTCTGTTTGAACTCAATGATTATCCTAATTATATTTTAGATTTTTTATATTTAAAATGTGATGTTTATCCTGTATTTGATTATGTTTATCTGCAGTTAGTTACACGAATTCAGATATGAATATTTAATAAGTTGTACTTACGCACATTCTACTTGTGTTTTAAGTAACATGCATTAATAAGCAATACTTTATGCATAAAAATGGTTTTTAAGAGTTTTTGTTAAAAACTTTATAATATAGTATAAATATAAATACTTCGAAACAAAAAAAAAACTTTTAATGCCTCTCGTTAATAGACAATCTTATACCTTGGATATTTACCCTAAACCTTAATTAATTGGTCCTTAATAATTCCAAAAATACTATAATTGAAGGGCAAAAGGGTAATTTCAAATTCAAATGTTGATTAATTGGTCCTTGGTAATTCCAAAAATAGTAGATATCTATCCTCTTTGGCAAGAGGGTACTTTCGATTCAAATGTTAATTAATTGGTCTTTAATAATTCCATATATATATATATATATATATATATATATATAGGGGTGGATTCAAATAAAAACCACTCAATTTGTAAAAACCGTGAAAACCTCATTCAATCAATCATAATTTTTTATTTTGTTCATTTTTTTTGTAATTATGAGAGGTTAATTTACCATTTTTATTGTGGAGGGTGTTAATCATGGATATTATCATCTTCATTAATTTAATTTTAGAAAAATACATGAAACAGTTTCATTAAAATTTCATTAAGTAGTATATGAAACAATTTCATAACCACATATGAAACAACTTCATCAAAAAAAATATTATATGAAACAATTTCACAAGATTAACAATTTCATGAAAAAATTTCATAAGATTAACGACGGATGAGAGTAGTTTTTACGGTTTTTACAAATTGGAGTGGTTTTCATTTGATCGCTCCTCTATATATATATATATATATATATACACACACACACACACACACACACTATATTATAAAGCATTTAATAAAAACTTTTAAAACCATTTTTATGCATAAAGTACTGTTTATTGATGCACATTACTTAAAATTCAAGATTACAAGTAAATTGTGCATAAATACAACTTATTGAAGCTCTAGGTTTGAATTCGTGTAACTAACTGCGGATAAACATAATCAAACAGAGAATAAACATCTCATTTTAAAATATAAAAAAAACTAAATTATAATTAGGATAATTATCGAGTTCTAACAAAATAATTAAATTATTATCTTTATAAAATAATTATATTATTAAACCAAATATAAATTACTTTGTTATAAAAAATATATTATTCAACCTAAATTAAGTTACTTCGTTACGTTAGATTAAATTATAATAAAAAAATTGAATTAAAAAAATAAACATACAAGAACTTTTAAATAGGTAATTTGATACTAATATTGATATTTTTTTTTGTAAATTGTATATGATATTTTCAAATTTATATCTTATTCAAAAATATAAAACATTATCGCTTTTCCAAAACCATATAAAATCGTATTATATGGACATGTATAAATAATAAAACGAAACATTGAAATGAAAATGTGTCTCGATATATTACACGACTACATTTCTAGTATATATATATATATATATATCCTGATTGAAGGGCAAAAGGGTAATCTCATAATATAAATCTTAAATTTATTGGTCCTTAATAATTTCAAAATAATACATATATCCACACTATATTATAAAATATTTGACAAAAACCCTTAATTATCTTCATAAAATATATTTAACAATAAAAAATAAATTACTTCATTATTAATCTTAAATTAAATTATAATTAAAAGAAATTACACAAAAGAATGAGAACTTTTAAATAGTTAATTTGATATTAATTTCAAATTTTTATGATATCTTAAAATGTATATTTTATTTAAAAATAAAAATATTATCGTTTTCTCAAAACCATATAAAACCGTATTATAACATTGATAAAGACAAATAATAAAACAAAACATTAAAATCAAAATGTATTTCACTGTATTATATGCATATATATATATATATATATATATATGCAGGGGCCTATTCAAGGGAGAACTGAGTTGTTTGTGGTAACTGTGAGAACCAATTTTAACCACAAATCAATAGATAAATTAGGAAATTTGTAAATTTGGTAATTTTAAATTAAAATCTTAATGCAAGGATATTTTTGGTATTTTAAAACTCTCATCTCTTCTCTCTTTGGCCACCGTTCTCCGGCCTCCGGCCACCGTCCTCCGGTGATACCTAAAAATATTGACTCTGTTAAACAAAAGATACATTGTGATACCTAATCATATATAATATGTATAGTGATACCACTGTGTTACATCTTCGATCGACCACACAAACGACATCAATGTGATACCCAAGCACATATATGATACATTGTGATACCATTGTAGTATCACCGGAGGACGGTGGCCGRAGARAGAAGAGAGGAGGGAGRAAAGTTTTAAAATACCAAAAATATCCTTGCATTAATATTTTAATTCAAAATTGCCAAAATTATAAATTTCTTAATTTATCTATTGATTTGTGGTTAATATTGATTTTCATAATTACCACAAACTAATTAGTTCTCATTTAATTAGACCCCTATATATACATATATATATATATATACACTGTGATTGAAGGGCTTATAAATGGTAATTAATTGGTCCTAATAATTCCGAAAGTAATGATGGTGGCTAACATAAAAATCCTAACTGAAGGGCAAAAAGGTAATTTCATAATTTAAGTGGACTGGTCCCTAATAATTCCAAAAATACTACGGGTAACATATATCCTCCTAGAAGGGCAATAGAGTAATTTCACAATATAGAAAAAAATATGCATACGGACACCAAAAGAAATTTAAATACAGTTTAACATCTTATCTCTCTCTCAATCATTCCCGGAGTTTTCTTCACTTGTTCATCCAATCACAACTTTCTCTCTCTACATATAGATACACACCGATATGTATCTATAGATTCCGTACATGTTTTTGTGTTGTGCTTTTCTAGAGAGAGAAAAACAGAACACACACAATACATACATACATACATACAGACAGTTCTCTCCCCTCTCACGCCTCCACTATTTCTCTATCTAAAAGCAATAAACTTTCTCTCTGTGTCATCCGATCATGGAGATGATGTTTCGGTCGAATCTGTTGCAGATTCATATGCGATTTTGATTCTTTCTTTCTTCTTCTTCAGACACCCTTTACTCTCTTCTACGCTTCTCTTTTTAGTTTGACCTTTTCCCAGGTACCCTTTTTCCTCTCTTTCTCTCTCACACACATAAAACACATGTTTCTGTGTGTAAAAATTGTAAACCCCATTTTGGTTTTTCGATGTTATTTCTGGGGTCTCCATTTTTTTTACGTAGTCGTGCTTATTCTGAAATGGGTTTGTGATTTCTTGGAGTCTTATGGGGGGTGGAAAAGGGGTTTAGTTGAGATTAGCAGATTTTTTGTTCGTTATTGTCAAGTTATAGGGCTTATTTCGTTGGTGATCTTGTTCAATTGCTTTGCATGTTGTGATCGGTGTATAGATTTCAGATTCCTTATTGGGGTTTTTGTGGATCACATGATTAGTTGTGGTTTTGTTGTAAATTTGAGCAATTATTGCTTATTAATGGGAATCTAAAAACAGTTCCACACTACCTTTTAATGATCTCTCCAAGTTTTCCCCCTTTCGTCTCTTAAATGCAAATTTTTTGCAGATGCTTGTGTGTGTAAGCATAATTTCTTGATGATCAGAGGCTACCCCAATTCGATTTGGGACAAAACTTGTTTATTTGAGTTGTGTTTGATCATTATAAGCTTCATTGTGGTCTCATTATCATTTTTAACCTTATAACATATGGGATTATAGCTATGGAGTTGACTGTTGTTTATTTGATGTGGTTTTAATGTTCTTCTTAAGTTTGTATGTAAATACTTTATGCAACTATGTTTTATCTATACCTTGATTGGATCATCTTCATCATTGACTATTCACACTTTTCATGTTAAGAGAGATTACAAACATATTATGCAAACAAGGGTGATAAAGACAAGGGGATGGTAAAATCAACAGGGCTTCGAATCCTGCCATCTATATATGCATTTGCGGCCACTGGTAGATTTACCTCTGGGCTGTGTGAGGTTCTTACAGTTGCGACTTGCCATGAGATCGGTCTAGTCTTAGCCTAGGATCATCCATTTAGAAAAAAACATATTCTGCGAAGTTGGTAGTTTCTTAGTCTTAAGAAATGAAATGGTTCCAAGTATTTCGTTTATGAGTGAGGGTAACATTGCTTTAGGCATATAGTTTCACCAATTTAAGTGATAAAGTTTGATGGGAATGTGTATGTGAGCATGTTCCATTATTTTGATACATCTTTTCTTTGAAGTAGCCAGTCTGCATTATTTTATGTTCATAACAAAATACCAAGATTCTCGTTTAGGAAATTAGGAAAGTAAATGCTGTTGACATCGTTGATTAATGGCAGATATTGATACTCTTTTACTTAAATTTGTTTTCATGACAGAAGTGTTATGCAATGCAACAGTCTGCAGAACGGTTTTCTTCTGGTATTCTTAAAGTTCTCCACTCATTTGCTACTTAGTTACCTTTTAATGATTGAAATTGTCTTGAAAAATTTACTCTGTTGTGTGGCAGGTCCTTCTAAAATAACATCAATGAATTTCTCGAAAGCAGTTGGAAGTGGGGCTAGGCAAATGTTAACTGGGCCCGATACTTATGATGCCTCAAGTGATGCCACACTTTTTTCAAGTTCGTTACCGGTTTTACCCCATGAGAAGTGTATGCAGCCTTTTTGCTTAATGGCTCCATTAACAGCCTTTAAATAAATGAGATACACTTACAGTCTTAGGGCCTCTTTTGTTGGTTGACTGTGTGGATTAATCTATCTGTATAGATTGGGAGTGTTTTCCCATAGATGGAAGGAGCATGTTCTTTACCGAATAAGCCACTTTCTATATCATTAAGATACTACCAAATAAACATATATAGCTGACCGAATAAGCTGTGAGTTCTATTAAACTCATTAAGCTGTTAACAAACAGGCTCTTACTCTTCCCTTTCTTGATTGAAATGCAGTGATCTTGAATAATCCAGAGAACAAATATCAATCTTTAGAAGGCAATGATTTGCTAGAAGATCTTGAAGATGATGGAATTGGGAACTTGTTACCTGATGAGGATGATCTTTTAGCTGGTGTGATAGATGGTATCGATCTCAGTGCTTTTACTAGCCGTGCAGATGAGTCAGAAGAGTATGATCTTTTTGGAAGTGGAGGAGGTATGGAACTTGAATCTGATATGGATAACACGAATATGGGGATATCAAAGGTAAGTTTGGGTGATGGAGTTGTTGGCAATGGGGTGGCTCACTACAATCTTGCAAACAATGTGGGAACTGTTGCTGGGGAACATCCATATGGAGAGCATCCTTCAAGAACTTTATTTGTGCGTAACATCAACAGTAATGTCGAGGATTCAGAACTCAGAACTCTCTTTGAGGTAGCTAACTTTACCCCCATCTTGTTGATTATATCAGGATTGTAGTTTTTTATGTTCAAACTACGGCAATAATGAAACTAAAGACACCCTTTTGCGGCTTGCACTTTTCTGGATAAGAATCTTGGAAATACTTTAATCTTGGGTAGTTAGATCTTCACCTATTTCTTCAACCCCTAGTGAGTAGAGTCTGATTTTTTTTGGGTAACCGTGGGTGTCCGGGCCAGCTTGTCTGCACCTGGGTTAATTCAAGGTGGGCCCGAGGAGGCTTGAACCAGCAACCTATGGGGAGGAGCCCTAAGGCCGAGCCTTTATTTGCTAGTTGAGCTTGCCTTTTTTTTGGTAATTCTTGTGAAAATGCCAAAAAACAGTATAGTTTGCTAAAATGCCAAAAAACAGTATAGTTTGCTAAAATGCATGATTACAATATTACATACAAATTGTGAAAATGTTGGTGGAAAAACAGACAATATACGGTATTTTGTGTCCAGAATTGTTCATTCTTACAGCTAGTGTTTATTTTTGCATTTTATTGAACTATGCTTTGCCTGCAATGAGAAGGGTGAAAATGTTCTTGAAATCTAACAAGATAAAAGTGGGCGCACCACTCACGAGCTCTCCAAATGCACTATCCTTTTCGTGCATATTAGTGTTCTTGCATCCTTAATGTGCTTCAGATCAAAATCCATCTGATCATGGCAGCAATCGCTCGATGGAAAATTCATCACTGAAGAAAAAGATCAATACTCGTTTGGGGTGTTCTTATTCTTAAGGTTTATAGATCAAATATTGACACACTTTGGCATCTTTAGTTCTCACCTACAGAAATGGATGGCTTCGGAAATCTTGAAAGTCCCAAGTGGTTTTCTAAAAAAATTCCCATCTTTTTTGTCCATAGGTGACCATTTACTAATGGATTATTATTTTGTTTACCGTGTAGCAATACGGTGATATCAGAACACTGTACACGGCATGTAAACATAGGGGATTTGTGATGATATCTTACTACGATATCCGTGCTGCTCGAACTGCCATGCGTGCATTACAGAATAAGCCGCTACGAAGAAGGAAGCTGGACATTCATTACTCGATTCCAAAGGTTGAAATTTGATTTCCATTCTCTGTTTTCCATATTCTTCATTGTGGTAGTTAATGTTATATCTCCTTTCATCTGTTTATCTTTGTGTTCTAGGATAACCCATCAGATAAAGATATAAATCAAGGAACTTTGGTGGTTTTTAATTTGGACCCTTCAGTTTCATGTGAAGATCTTCTTCAAATCTTTGGGGTATATGGCGAGGTCAAAGAGGTAATAGTTTTCGTTCTCTCTCTCCAATGCTTCTTCTGATGACAAAAAGGAGTAATCAAGTTTTTGAACCATCAGACTTGTGTTTTCGTTGTAAACTAACCATCAATACTGTGGAGATGTCAAAAAAAGAAAATTTTGCAAGAATAAGGGATTTTGGATAAATAGTGGACCATATAAGTGCAGAAAAGAAGCATCATACTTGGCTTTTTTTTTGGTCGGAAATGCTCGTTCTTTGTGCATTTTGAACGAAAAGCCAAATCCGGTGGTTCAAAAAGTCAGTTTCGATACTGTGAGGATACAAAATTTGCATCTAGTTGGTGTTGTTAATTCACATCATTGAAGCATTTGTTTGGGGTCTTGGGAAATAATTTTTTTAGTTTTTGTTGCACAATACCAGATAAGGGAGACGCCACACAAGAGGCACCACAAGTTCATCGAATATTATGATGTTAGAGCTGCAGAAGCGGCCCTTAGATCCCTGAATCGGAGTGATATAGCTGGGAAACGCATAAAGCTTGAACCTAGTCGCCCTGGTGGAGCACGCCGAAAGTAAGTATACAGAGTTGTGTTTTAGTTGATCTTGGCTTTTCCTAATGTGTCCGTCTCAATGTTGCGCCCATAATTTATCATTTAATAAAAAAAAGAAAAATGACCAAAATACCCCTCAACTTAATTGGCTAAACACCCATTAGGGGCGAGGACAAATGGTGTAAGAAAATTGAAAAGATGGGGGGTCTGGTGTAATTTTGAAACTGCAGGGGCAATTGATGGAAACTGAGCAAACTATAGGGATGATCGGTCTAATTTACTCTTATTTCTTACATGTTTTCAAAGTTTGAGCAAAATAGAATCTTGATAAAAATGACTGACATGGGTAACCTCTGGTGTAGTCATTGTGGTAGACTAGCTTGGTGTAAAAAATGATATATATATATATATATATATGTATCAATACAATATGTTGGGTGATGGAAGAACTCCCTTTTAAACTTAGATGACCATATTTGTTGATGATAGACGATAAATGAGTGATTAGCTTTCTAAACCATTGAACAATGGCCATTTTTGTGTTTACATTTCCAAAAATGCTTATTTTTGCATAAGATGGTGTTATTTTTGCATTTTTTGCATGCTAGATGTTTGTTTGTATCAAAAGAACAAAATTCGATGAGATTGAAAAGTTGATCACTTCAAGATAGGATATATTGGATCAAGGACCTTTGGAGGTTGGAGGAAAGACATCTAGATGTTGATTTGCTGGCTGTTTTAAATAGATACATAGATGGGAGCATTAGTTTTTTATATTGTTGTATCAAGATAAAATGTTTAATATGTGGTGTTATTAGTTAAGTATACAAGAATCTTTGCTATGAATTCTACTCCCTCCTCCATCCCAAATAAGTGTCCTCATTTTTATTTTGGTTTGTCCTAGATCAAGCGTCCACTTTCAATAGCAAGTGCCTACTTTCTAATTCTACCCTAAATTATGAGATGAAGAGATTCATTACTTCCTCTATTATCAAGGGTAAAATTTTCATTTGGTTGATTAAAAAGTGTAATAATTACACATTTCTAAAACTGTGCTTTTTCATTGCGGACATTTATTTTGGGATGGAGGGAGTAATTGCTAAAGAATGAGACAATATCCGCTGGTCTGAGGCTTTGTGAGGAAACGAATTAAGATTCAGTGGGTAACATTTAAGCATTAATGAATCATCCCGGTTGTCTTTTATAATCACATGGGCAACCTTTTTGATGCCCTTTCCCTATTAGTCCCTTGTAAATGGTGTCAGCCGTATAATAAGAATCCTAGCAAACGACCATTGATGTTAGGCAAATTGTTGAACTATGCAGATGCTGTGTCTATATTTGTTCGTTTCTTTCAATTATTAGTGTGTGTGATTATTGATCATAACTCTTCATTTTGCCTCCATCACTTTAGCCTGATGTTGCAACTCAGTCAGGAGTTTGAACAAGATGACACCCGGAGTTTTCGACTTCAAGTTGGTCCCTCGATTGCCAACTCTCCTCCAGGTAAGGCCTTTTGTGGTTCCATTATGTTCTGTGGGAAACAAGATCGATATTTTTATGTTTTGAGTTAGACTTTCTTTGACCATCTTACAAATATAATTTTGATGTATTTCACCCAGCAGGTGTCTGGCCACAGTTTGGCAGCCCAATAGAACACAGTCCTCTGCAAAGTCTAAGCAAGTCACCTGTCCTTGGTTCAATGAGCCCTACGTTCGGCAACAATTTACCTGGCCTCGCTTCAATCTTGCACCCTCAACCAGCAAGGATAGCACCAATTGGCAAGGACCATGGAAGGACTAACCGTAACCATCTTGAACAAAATATGTTCAATGGAAGTTCAAACAGTGGATCCACATTTCAACAATCTCATTCACTGCCAGAGTCCAAATTGAGTCAGTTTAAGGAACCCATGTCCTCTTTTGGTGGTTCAAGCTCAACTGGTTCAGGAATTGAAACGTTATCTGGTCCACAATTTTTGTGGGGTAGTCCCAATATATACTCTGAACAACCCAAGGGACCTAGCCATGGCTTTCCTGTCACTGGTCGATCACCAACCATGGCTCATCCATTTGCTACGACCAAGGGTCCCCCGACCCATGGGTTTCCCATCGCAGGGCGCCCTGCATCTTTGCTTGGTTCATCACAACACCACCATCAGCATCATCATGTTGGATCAGCACCATCTGGGATCCCATTCGAAGGGCATTTTAGTCGTTATCATGAGTCTCCTGAAACATTGTTCATGAGTCCTCCCGCTTTCGGAGGTGTAGGTATAGGTCATATTGACAGAGGCTTCTTAGGTTCTCGTGGGTCTGTTGAAAACGGTTCTCCAAGTTTCAGCACCATGTCTTCTCCCAGGCTTAATCCCATGTTTCTTGGTAACGGACATTACGCAGGGCTGGGACCCACTATTGTAGAAAGTATGAGCGAGCGTGGACGGACCCGACGTGTTGACCAAAATGGAAGTCAGACAGATAGCAAGAAACAGTTCCAGCTCGATCTTGATAAAATCACGAGTGGGGAAGATACGCGAACAACTTTGATGATAAAAAACATTCCTAATAAGTAAGACCTCATTTTCCCACTGCAATTTGGGCACTTAAAAGATTTCAACTTGATTCTTCTTTTTTGTACTTTTAGGTATACTTCAAAGATGCTGCTCGCTGCCATTGATGAAAATCATAGTGGCACTTATGATTTTCTTTACTTGCCCATCGATTTTAAGGTATAATTTAGCATTTCTTGCTAGTTGAAGCAACCCCCACCCCCTTTTTGGGTAGAACTGATGGGCTTTGTACTATTTGATGCAGAACAAATGCAATGTTGGATATGCATTTATCAACATGCTTTCTCCAGCGCACATAATCCCATTTTACCAGGTTTTTTCCACCTGTTCTATTGTCTTTCTGGTTGACCATCTTTGACTTTGTAAATTTGACATGGGTAAATCATAGACGTGTAATCATCAGAAAGACGGTTTTTTGAAGTTTTGGGTTATAGCTATTCACTAATTATGTAAATTGTGGTTTAGGCGTTCAACGGGAAAAAGTGGGAGAAGTTCAACAGTGAGAAAGTTGCTTCCTTGGCTTATGCTCGAATCCAAGGAAAGATGGCACTTGTTACCCACTTCCAAAACTCTAGCTTGATGAATGAAGATAAGCGTTGTCGCCCTATTCTTTTTCATTCAGAGGGCTCGGAGGCTGCTGATCAGGTAAAATGCTCATTCTAGATACCTAATACAAGCCAGTGTTTTATCCCATGTCCAAAATGACAAAGGCATGGTTTTAGAAATGTGTAATTATCACACATTAAAATCACTAAATATGACAATTTTACCCTTAATAATAGAGGGAGTAATAAATTTCTCCTTCCATAATTAAGGATAGGATTGGAAAGTAGGCACTTTTGGAAATGGACTCTTATTTTGGGATGGAGGGAGCATTTTTTTGTTGTATTAATGGTATTTGAGCGGAGTGGTGCCCAAGCTTGCTCCACTCAAGGCTTGACACATGAAAAATATGCACTTGGGTTTGCTTTGTGGCTTGTCAAGCAGGCCTGAAAAGCTTAGGGTTGGGTCTGGCTTGCCTTGGTCTCCATTTTTGATTCAACTCGTATACGCTTGGTTCCTATGGGAGCTCGTTTAAGTTTGAGTTTTTTGCTCAGTTCATATGTACTCGTACAAGATTGAAAGCAAACCTTTCAACTATACTTGCAAATAAGTTATACTAAAAACTTATAATAAATTTAAGTCTATGATGAGGCTTAAAGCTGGTGCTAAATAAATATAAATTACACTTGTTTGTATAGGCTTGGTGGGCTATGCTTATTAAGTTCTTGTCGTTTAGGCTCATCTAGCCTGGCTAGACCAGGCTCGAGCTCTGCTTAAATAACCAAACGAGTCGGCTTGGAACAGGCTCATTGAGCTTTTTTGACTGTTAGCTGTATATCAACCAAGGAATCATCATGTGACATAACTAATCATGTGACTAATTGTTTATGGCAATCGTGCAACACCATATTGAAATAAATGAATTATGCTCCTCTTCACCAGAAAAATTACAGCAGTTCTCGTTTTGGAGAAAGTCAAAAGTGAAAATGCTTGTTTGCTCATGGTCATTGCTACACATTTGCTCACCAATTTGTTTGTCCCATCTTTTCTTGCATGCACCGCATAAATGGAACCGATAAATTGAAAATGTGTATTATGGCCATTTATAGAAATATGTCATTCTGGGTGCGAAATTGTTTGATAATTTCTCGTATACATCTTACAGGAACCTCTTTTGTCAAATAGTTTGAACATTCAAATGCATCGGTCAAATGGGTCAGACTCAGGTGACTCTACAGGTAGCCCTCCAAAGGATGGCACAAACGAGCAGAGCTGACAGCAGATGAAGCAGCGGTCTTATTAAGTGTCTAAATTATACTCGTTACTCAAGACTGCTGGCTTGCAACCGTACATATCATGTATAGAAGTAGGAGAATTGCACCAAAAAGAAACCAAGGGAGCAGATTTTGTGTACTTCGAAAGGATAAAAGAGTAAAAAAGAAACCTGATAATCAGAAAGAATGCTTATAGAGGCGAATGATGGTAATGTACAGTGGAGATTGCCATTTTGCAAATATGTAAATTGGTCATATCTTCTGCTCATCGCCTCTTTGTTTTGAGGACCCATTTTTCCAGTTTGATTTGGGATATTGATGATGGATGATGTTTACCTGCACATAAGTTTGTTTGTTGGGGGTAAAAATGGTTGAGGGTTTCTTGCCAATTGTATATTGTGAGCTTATGAGGGTAGAATCTGACTTTTCATGTCTTCTGCACTTGATCTGTAGTTCATATTTAACTATAACTGAATTTGGAATCTTTTTTCCCCTTCCTTTTTTTGTGCATTACTCCATTTTAGTTGTTATGAGCAGGCTTCATGTTGTTGAGAAAGCCATTTTACTTGATGTATTAAATTAACATCTGTATCATACATTCAATCATGTATGCTAAACTTCATTGGCAAACTGTGTTTTATCTTTATGTTGCCAACGTGTACAGGAACTGAGTTGCTATTTCACAGAAAGAGGGACGATTCGACTTTCTGCAGTCAAATTGGATGCTTTTCTACTTAAAATTGACATGGTTTGTGAAATATCTGAAACTACAATAAAGTTCATTACAGGTATTATAAGTTGAAAAGAGCTAGCAACAAATTAGTAATGAAATTGAAGTAAGATTTGTGTTTGAAAAGCATTAAGGTTGCCATCAGAAAAGTACAACTCTCTTTAGGACAAGAAAAGATATACAAAGATACAGAGGTTGTGATAGCAGCAGATTCAATACAACCATCTGCACATCAAGATTCAGCAAACCGAGTTACCAACATGGTGAAAACTGGAATAAAAATTAAAAGCCTCTATAGATGCTTCTATACAAGTAATATTTCAGATGATCTCTGCAAGATTTCTTGTTTTTCAAATCTTCATTTCCTTGTTTTAAGTTCGATGTCAATGAGGAAGCAACACTTACTGTCATCTCTAACGTAATTGACATGGCCTTTCATGATACCAAGCAGTTTCCTAGAAAGATTCAGGGCGAGTCCTTCTTGGGTATCCCATTGTTTTCTCTCTTCGTACATGTCTCTAATGATATCCACAGGTAACCCTGGACCTGGATGACTCATTCTGCAAGGACAAGTTCATTAGGAATACTACCTCGTCAGTACAACAAATTGATTTTATAGGACGCGATATTGTGTTTATGTTCTAATGAACTCCTTAATAGGACTTATGTTATAAGATCAAACAATTATACATTTTATATAAATGTGTTACAATAGGTTGATTGGGTGCTTTTGAGCATCCTAATAAGTTTGTTAAGCTAATTTTGAAACTAAACATCATATTAGTCTTTTTATATATGATATTGTTTGAAAAAGTATCTTATATGTATAAAAACCAAACCAACCCAATATATCCCACCCGGAGGTGGGGTGTGGGAAGGGTAAGATATATAGACCTGACCTCTACCCTTAAGACTCGAGCGGGTGTCTTATAAAAATATATGTTCATAGGACCCTTCTCAAAAGTATCATATAAAAAACCAATAGGACCCTTTCTTGTTAGGATGCCCAAATATGTCCTAACATCCTATTGTAACACCTTTTATATAGGACATACAATTGTTTGGTCCTATAACAAGAGTAGGAACTCACGGAAACAACCTCTCTACCCCTTAAGATAGAGGAGGTCAGTGTACATCCTACCCTCCCCAGAGCCCACCCCTGTGTGTGATTTACAGGTCCGTTTGGTTTGGTTTCCTATAAGGTAAAGAAAATAGAAAGGCAAAGCCATAGATTTTACCTGAACTGTAGATGAATGAATTCATGCCCATCCTGTATCATTCTGAGCCCAGGGGCCACTTTGATTTCCACCCAACCATCTGGTGACGGTGCATGATGCACAATGCTGAGCAAGAAATCTGATAAGACTATCTGAAGCCTAATCTGATCGCCAAGAAGAGTGAGTGTTTTCAGTTGATCAGGTATTTCATGAACCAATGGTATGTTCTTTTCCTTCAGCACGATCATGACTTGGCTCACAATGGCATCCAAAAGATTCTCCAATGCAAATTGGTCCAGGTTCAGCTCCACACTGCTGCAGAAACAAACATTTCACAAATTTACTTCTGCAAAAGTGTTACGAATTCTTCCACTAGATGATAAAACTGAAATGATATCTAGATAATTACTATACATTATATTGCAAAAAAGATTGGTTTGATTAGAATAAAACACATCACTTTTGGTTTTGAAAAGCAAACGGTCTGAGTGTCTGACCTTGACTGTTAAAGCATCGTCTGATGCAAACAAAAGAAACCAGAGAAGAGAATGAAGATTTAGAGAATTGAGACTAACCCGTCTTCAATACTTTTTATATCCATATTCTCGACGATTGATGCGATTTGTCTTTCACAAGCACCACTTGTCTCGAGATACTGCTTCTGATCATATGAAATAGCTGTGTTTTCAAGAAGTTCATGAGCAAAACGCAGCCCATTTAACGGGTTCTTTATTTCTTGCTTCAAATATGCCAACTCATTACTTTTCAACACGAAATCTTGATTTTTACCGTCTCCCAAAGGCCATTGCGCACTAGTCTGCAAGAAGCAGAAACACCCAACTACTTTTCCACCTTCAATAACCCTCTTGTTTGCTGTCAATTTAACCTCTACAAGATTCCCATCTTTATTAAAAAACCCGAATGGTAGATCTGAAGTGTCATGCCCCTTGATTTCTCTATATAACAGAATCATAAATTTTGTGAGTGTATCTTCATCTTTGAGTTTACATAAACCTCCGAAAACCTCACCAGGAAGCACTTTCCCTAGAACTTCACGTCTCATATGACCAGTAAGCTCTTCCATGGCTGCATTCCATTCAGAACAACAAGCATTTTCATCGGAGGAAAATAAAGGAGGAATTAACGGATGTGGGCTTTGAATAATCGTCTTATAGTCTCCTTCCATACGTATGAATTTATCCATGACAATTTTCTCGGTTGTGACATCTTGACCCACAAAGCATACCCCAACCACATTGTTCTTGTAGTCCCTGCTTGTGCAGGTATTGGCCATAATGTATATGATGGTGTTGTTTTGCTGGTGCATATCAACCTTCCGTAGTTTCAGTTCAACGTCTTTCTCCTCTGCACCTGCATCAAGCATGTCAGACCCCAACTCCTAGAAATAAGTTTTTTTAACTTAGTGGTCACACAGATGCTAGCGAACAAGTTAAAAGATTATCTTTTCTGAACTAAAGATCAAAACTTTCCTTTTGAGTCTGTTCAACACAGTAGAGAATGTGTTGCAAGAAAGGACCGGTTGATGACATGTTACCTCTTGATTTACTGTTGCTGTTCCACCACCATTCTACTCTTGTTTTTACATATGTATTTCTTTTGGTGTTGGTGATTCCATTTTGAATGTACAACTAGGAATGGGTAATATTAATATTTCAACTAGACTAATCATACAAATTGGATTCATAGGTTAGCTTAGGGGTATGTAGACGATAGGGTTAGTGAGCCAGCAGTTAGACCCCTGAAACCTGCGTTAGATGAAGGGTGTGTAGACCTTCCTACCTTTGTTATGTTTTCGGCTTGTCTGTTTGATTTTTGGTTGCTTGCTTCTGACTCGTTTTTCAAGTTTTAACAGTGTCTTTCTTGTTTTCAAGTTCTTCTTTTTCGTATATTCTTCTTTTTCCGCAATTTAACACTCTATGCACAAACCGGGGATCTTTATGGAAACGACCGCTCTATTCTCTTGGGTGGAGATCAGGTCTGCGTACCTCTCACCCCTCCTACACTTCACACTTCGGGTGGGATATATTGGGTTTGTTTGGTCTGATTTGGTTTATAGAAATTGGATTTAATGGTCAATGTCAATGTTTGTATGTCACCATCTACAAACAGATCCTAGGGAGACCACCGACAAAGAATCCCCCAATTCCCATCACCCTAGAACTGGCTTGATAGTGATACAAACACATACAAAATGGTTAAATGAAGATGATTTGTCCAAAAGTTTAGTGAGTAGAGCATATGCTACTTTTGACTTCTTTAGAGGCTCAACTCTACCAAGAGCTCATCTTGATTCACACTTTCTAGGATTCTAAAGCTGTTCATTTGTTACTGATCCTTGTGCAACCATTCACATATAGGTATATACCACTTGTATTAGGCAACTACATCATCTTGGATTCTTGACGTGGCTGCATCGAATCATATGACAAGAATAAGGACATGATATCCATGAAATTATCATCCACACATATATGTGTTTAAATAGCCAATGGTTTCTAAAGCCCTAGCACAAGACATGCGTCTTCACGGGAATAGGCCCTCTACCCTTTGGCGTAGAGGACTGGTCTGCTTTTGAGTGGGATATATTGGGTTCATTTGGTTGTTTTGGTTTCCAAGTCCCAAGCTCATAATTCCTAGAGACAGGCTCATGAGTACAAAGTTGTTAGAGGCGTGCCTAGGCTCTAAGGAGTATAAGGCTCAAGGTCTTGGGATTTTTAAAGTCGAGGCGAGGCATATTCACAAGGCTCGCTAAAGCGCTGCATCTTGGCTGAGGCACCTTTTGTGCCTAGGCATGCCTTATAAAGAGTTATTAAATACCGACTCAAACCCTAATATTAAATAAGTTTTATCATCTTATCTCCTAGACTTTTTAAGGAAGAGTTATTAAATAGATGATATAAGTCAAATCCTAATATTGAATGCCCAGAACTTCGGAGGAAAGGAACTAGTGCGCCTTGAGCCTTTAACAACTTTGCATGAGTAGATATTTGTCCTTCGAAGCAACAGAACTTCGGATCTGGTAGATATCTGTGCAGGCAAGGACTCTTGATCGGGATTGATATCTCGCATGACTAGGGAACTGGTAGCTAATGGTTATATTAGTACTAATCATAGACATCCAACATGTAACTAAGTCTGTAGGGTTTCATATTTTCAGCCTGTTGGCCCATATTTTACTCCATATCTTCTCAGATGTTTTAATGAAATAAGCATCACTTCAAAGAAAACTTATTAGAAATGCAAATCTAACTGACTTATAACTACATTATAGTTTACATGATAATTTCAAATAAAGCCTTAAGGACCAAATCACATCACTTGTCGTGCTATAAATTGAGTTATTTAGCTATTGACCTCCCAACAAGTGTTTTAAATCCATGACCTTCTGTCAAGTTTTTAGGTGTTCTTGTATATGGAAGATGCATTCTTCTGTTAAGCAGTGGTTCAAAACCAATCAGAAGGTCATGGATTTAAATGAAAACCAGTCAGAAGGGCATTTAACCAAAGGACCCCTATAAATTCTTAGTTCTTCATGTGAGTTAGGTACTTAGATTTATGTTGTCATGTTAAAGATGTACCTTGCAAAGCTCTGCAAAGAAGACCTTCAACGACTACCCGTGAGCTTTCATGAATGACTTCATCAATTAAAGACTTTCCCATAGCTTCACTAGCTGCTAAACCAGTTAACTCTGCAATTTTAGCATTCCACCCATTGATCAAACCTGAAGCATCAACACCAAAGATTGGGACAGATGTTGTTTCAATCAATCTCACCATTTCACATGCAATTGAACTAATTTCGTCCATCCCTTGAAGCCCAGTCTCACTTTGTTGACCATATTTCATCACCTTTGAACCACCACCACCACCTCCGTTCTCTGCAACATCTTGAGCTGATGTTCTCATGATTAGCTGCAAAGAATGAATCACATTGATCTCAGAATCTTCCCATGACAAACTTTTCTTTTTTGCCACTTCGAGAAATGCCTTAAACGATGATCTTGGATGCATTCTCTCACCATCATCTTCATCCTTAGGATGATGCTTATCCCCTGCCCATTTGATTTCTTTTTCCGTGTGTGATCTGAACCAAAACAAGAAATCTTTAGAAGTGATTTGGGCAGCAGCCATACCACAAACGGCATCACCAAGCGAAACAGCACCGGGATAACCGGCTTTCAACAAACTCTCTGTACTGAATCCTGTAGAGTCCTTATGCTCACTACACAACCAGTTAGCTATATCCATAACTTCTTGTTCATTTGGAGTTATACCCACTAACCAAACTTTCCCACCATAATATAAAGCAGCTCCATCACACTTGATTAGATCCATTATACTTGGAGATTGAGTTATAATCCTGAAAGGGGCATCTCGCAGTAGCATGTCACATAGGGTGGTTTGCATGCGGAGGATCTTCTTCTCTGCTTTCTGTTTGGCTAACTGAAGCTCCATGTAGAGCTGTAAACCCATGGACTGCATCAAAAACTCACAGGCATAGCGAAGTGGAAAATGGATGTAACGTCGTGTAGTGTGGTGGCAGGCCACCAAGCCCCATAGCTTCATGGAGTCATTGTTGTTTACAAGAATTGCCATCACCAAAGTCCCAATAGAATTCATGTTAGACATGTAAATTTTATGGCAGCCATGGGGGGCTCGAAGGGTAGAGTTGACCAAACAAAGAGGCTGATTTAACTCTTCACTTTGAATCACTTCAACAGATTCTGCATGACAATCAACAATTATCCTCACCCGGTTTTGCTTAAATAGGAAACGGGCAGCTTGTGGGATGTCTGTTGCCGGATAGTGTACTCCCAAATAGGGTTCTAAATCAGACCTCCTAATTTCTGAAACAACTTCACCATGTTCATCATCATGGAACTTATAAACCATAACCCTATCATATCCAGTAAGCTTTTGAACTTCTTCAACAACAGTGTCACAGAGAACGCCGATATCTCCACCAGGGAGAGACTGAAGCCTAGAAATCGCTCTAACAACTAGTTTTTGTGATTGAACTGCACCAGCCAGCAATGAAGTGGGATCACCGGAGTTAGCTGGTTCTAAATCAATTACAACACCCACATCAATCCTATGGAGAATAGCGTAAAACGGCTTACGGGTACTCCTAGAATGAACCCAAATTGGGTTTAACAAAGTGATTTCTCTAGAAGCCACAGCTCTTTCTAACGAGGCCCTGGAAGAAGAAGTGAAAAGGATTCTAGCATCAATTCCAATCAGACTCTTGTTGGGCTCAATCAAATCATCAGGCTTTCCCAGATTCAAACTCAACATACTAAAACAGTTTTCACTAAAACTGATGATTCTGAAGGTGGGTTCTTCAATTGCAATCATACAACCAAATGGTTGAACAAAACCACCCCTTTGAATTCTTTCTAAATAAGCAGTCATTTTTTGTTCATCCACAGCTTTAGGCTCATGTTTAAGCAAGGTTGAGTAGTTAAAAGACTTACCAGATCCAACAGACTGCTCAAATTCTGATAAAAGCCTAGCATCAGCACCATAGTGAGCCAAATTGAGGTTTTTATTTGGTGTGTTCATATTGCTTCCACCGGATGATGATGAAGTTGCAGCAGTGTTGTTGTTAATGGTTGCCTCTGTATTCACTCCTCTGCTCCCTAACTCCATACTCATGGCTTGAAGACACTTGTATGGATGTCCTCTCTCGAGTTTTTGGGAAATTTGAAGTGGGTTTCAATGCAAAAATAAGTAGCAGCAGCAGCAGCAGCCTTGTTGTAAATGATTGAGTTTCTTGAAGTCCCCACATATTAATTTCATTTGCCACTATCTTCATCTTCTTAATACTGGGTTTCTGATTTCACTTGGCTTCTTCATTACCATAACCCACTCATTAATCGGGATTTATTTTCAGCAAAACAATGTAAAAAGATCGGAACTTGTTAAAGATAGTGTGGACCAAGATGATTTTAAAAGATAAAAAAAGAGATTCCAAGATAAGAGAGAGAGAGAGAGAGAATCAGAAATCCATCCGTCACTATCTCATCCTCAAATCCCAAAATTCCAAAATCTCCCCTCTCTTTCCGCATATAAAAAATTCATAGCATTTGGAATGTTGTGAATGATTTAATTGCAGCCAGACATGCGGTTCATTCATCTCACTCGGTGAGTCTGGTTGGACAACTCCAACCTCATCATAAAAAAAAAATACACCAAAAACATCAAATATGATGGGCATATAAACATTAAAAAAAAAACCAAACTTTAATTACACTCTAAAAAAAATCAAATTTATGGACTCTATATTAAAATATACATAATTTATTTATTATTTTTAATAAATATAAAAACCAAAAGTTAATATTTGTAATTATTTATTTATAATTTATAAAAAAATTATTTATTTATGAATGGCGGTGGAGACCACCTTTTTGGTATCCAAGTCTTCCACGGCAAATTTGCCGTTCAAAAATCCCCTCCGGCAAATTGATGCCATTTATGCCGTGCAATTGGATCCAAAAGAATGGCAAAACTAAGGTTTTGCCGTTCGATTGGAGTTGCTCTTACAAACAAATAGTTGTTTTTCCTTACAAGCATTAAGCACAAGGCCGGTGTCTAATTTGTTTGAGCTTGAGTTCTAAAGACTAAAAGTGTTTGGATATCCCAGGTTCAAATCCAAAAAGAAATAAAATTTTTCTTGCGGTAACTCCAGGTTACCCCTGAAGCAATGGTTGTCATGTAATTAGTTGGCTTGCATAACGGGTTAGATATTCCGATTAAATAAAAAAAACGGTTGGTGTGCATGGCAGGAAGCTAAAGGGTATTTGACAAAGTTTTGGAGGTTTTCTGTTTGGGGTTGTTCCCTCCATCACTTGTAAAGACATTTCTTGTTTTCAAATTTAAAAAAAGGTGTAATGTTGGTCCAATCTTTCGATTGTACTTGCATGTATAGATAGAGATGAGTCATGACTAAAAGTTGATCCAAGGTTACTTAAGAGTTTGTAACATATTTCTAAAATCTCTCTACAACGAATAATTAAAAATTAAAATCTTAACAAAATTACATTTATCTTCACACAGATTCCATGTTAGAGAACCCGAGTGAATCATATTTTTTATAAAAGTTGCAATTTTTGTCCTTGTGATTTATAAGTTCTAATTTTCATCCCTATGGTTTTTAATTTATCAGTATTTTCATTCTTATGATTTAAGATTTATTGTTGTTTCAGTCCATGTGGCTTACAGTTATTTATTTTTTGGTCTCTTGTACTTAAAAGTAGGAATTAATCCAGGAAAAAAGAATAGCAACAAATTACAAATCATAGGGATGAAAAACACAATTTTTAAACCATTTGAGCAAACATCAAAATTATTAACAAACAACAAGGATAAAAGATCATAATTTACCCAAAATAGAGTAATTTACGTTTTCCATCGGTGTGTTAAAATTGCGATCGTCCTCGTGGTTTTGAAAATTTTGATTTTTGTCCCCATGATTTGTAATTCATTTATATTTATTTGAGACCAAAACGTTACTTTTAAGTATGAATGACTAAAATAGAAATAAAATGTAAACTATAAAGATGAAAAATCAATAAATTTTAAATCATAAGGATGAAAAATTGTAATGAATTATAAATAATTAACTGAGTGGCAGAATAGTTATTTGGTGTATAAAATAACAAGACTAAATTGATCATATATAAGATTTGTGTGACATCCGTCATTTTTTTTTGGAGTGTCAGGTTATCACCTTTATAGGGTTTCTATATTTAGAATTATATTTTATTAGGATCTAGTCATGTTGATTAGAATTCATGTGGCTTAGTTCCCAAAATATAGTTTAGAAAACCTTGTTTCGACGGATAACTGGTAAAGTTAACTTATGTAATGCCAAATACATTAAAAATTCTCTATATATAATAAAGTTGATATTATAAAGTCCAAGTTAAAATATAAAAGTCTCATTTGAATGTCCAAATAATTTTACCAAAAATGTGGAACTTTGATTTAATAATGATATTTTTATCAATATTTGATAAATTGTATTTTTTGTTATAATTTAAATGAGCTTTATTTTGTTTAAAAGAAAAATAAAATTTTTATTGTTATGGACTTGGGCCTTAAGAGGCCGGCCCTTTTATTCACATTAAAACACATATAAAAACCCCATTTCTTTTGAAATCTTCATTTTGTCTTCCACTCCAACTGAAATCACCCTCCAAAACCCCTCAACTTCCATCATCTTGAAGAACACTCAACACTTCAAGAAGTAGCAAGCAAAAGTAATGAACTAGTTACATTATCCTTATTTTTTGGCATGATTTCTCATCTTCTACACTTTTCTTCTTTCTCCTTTTTATAAACAAACTTTCTGGAGAATCTAAGATGGAAGATTATACATCAATGACATGAAAATGTCCTCAAAATGATGATAATCTATGACCTACAAACATTAGAACTCAAGAAAAGTTGGTAAAAGTGTTTGCATGTGGGTTTTTTTGACCATAAAAAGAGTAAGGTTTGAACCTTCAAGTGTTTAAAACAAAATAAGTGTGCAACAACACACTTGACAGTAGGTAAAACCTATTTTGGACGACCATATCTCTCTGAAAATTCCTTCAAAATGGTTTATTTTTCTTCTAAAACTTATTTTAATGAGTTATCTTTCTAATGCAACTAGTCTCACTCAAAAATATTAAGTTTTGAGACTTCAAGTTCTTGATACAAGATTATGGTGCAAAAAAGCATTGTTGTCAGAATCTTGCATACCTTTTAAAACGGTTATATCTTCTTCAAAACTCAATAAAAATGGGTGATTCTTTTTCTGGAAGTTATCCTTATGTGTTAGCTTTAAAATAAAGTTAAAATCACTGAAAAATGATGAGTTTAGACCCCCCAAATGGCCGTCACTCGAAGAGTGTGCGATCTGTCTTGGGGACTGTGACACTCAAAGTGGTAGGGTAATGATGAGTGCCTTAAAACCATCCAAAATTCTTGATATTTGGGAAAAATCTGTTTAACTCACTGTTATTGATGGTATAAAAATTTGGACTCAAAAAGAGTTATGGAAGGTTCCTTTTGACAGTGATTTGTGAGACCAAAATTCCAGAAACATAATTTGCATTCTGTCCAAGTGGTAACTCTATGTGCAAAGGACTTTGATTTTAAAATGTATAATTTCTGGACTATTTTTAGAGCAAATGATATAAGTATCAACTTTAATTCATAAAAACTCATTGGCATTACATAAGATATAATTTGACTTTATCTTTATCGAGACCCAATAGGTGATCTAACTATTGGATTTCGGACTGTTTAGGAAAGTTAGGGCAGACCTGTAGTGCTTCAAACGTCATCAAATTCTTGGATATTCATCAGCAAACTTGTGAGTATTCACGGCCCCACTTTTACTGCTTTTTGTTTATTTAAACTGGGGGAAAAGCATGAAGTTATGCAAACTATATTGCTTATTGTAAAACTGTTGGACTAAAGAACTGTTTAGTCAAGATTTGTTGAAGTTATGAAAAATTGATTGTATTGCACTATGGTATAAATGGTAAATTGATGTACTTGAGAGGATATGTTTTAAAAAGTCCCCTCTCGTAAACGCTAGTAGTTAACTCGGGCACGTTCCCGGGCCGTGGTAATTGTGGATAGCCGCTATTGTGTTGACAGTCCCACCCAAAAACGGGTGCACATTACCTATGTTTAATAGTCTACTCATGTGTGCGAACGGGCCACCGCTGAAGTAGTACTGATACGAACCGTGGTACCTTAGTGAGCGCAGGCCACTTTATGGTAGTTCATAAAATAATGGGGCACATTGGTCAGGAAAGGCTCAGTAACATCTCAAGTTTTAAACATCGTTATAGATTTACATTTATCGGGTGCAAGTTTATGTATTAGTTTGCAAGAATTGATTTATGCATTGAAAATAATTTTGTGCATATGAAAATCCGTGAACTCACCAACTCTTTGTAGTTGACGTTGTTTTATGTTTCATGCTTTTCAGGAAATGTTATAACCAGGTTTGAGACAACCTGGGATTAAGGTAATTTATACATGTTTATTATGTGGATTACGTGAAATATGCATACCAAAGTAGAAATGCATGAACTATATATGTGATCATGATATTGTGCATGCATATATGTGAAAAGATGACATGCCATAAATGATTTATACATGTATGCATGTGGTGTGAAGCATACATGAGGTGGTGTTTATTGTGTTTAAATGATTCGGGTGGAATCATTATTTTATTATTTTTATTATTGAAAAACTTATATCTTCATGTTAAGAAATCATGAATTTTATAAAGCAAAATCCACCGCCCAAAGTTATTTCTATTGGACAAAAGCTTTCACCGCCTTTAAAGTTTTATTATTAAAATCCTCCACCGCCTAGGTGAGGATATTTAAAGAAGAGTTTGATAAGGTTATCCTTATCACTGTCACTCTCTTAGAAAAGAACATGTGTGTGAGTTAAGGTGTTCTTGAAGATTCTCTGTTAAGAATAAAGCTTTTGCTATGTGATTTTCATCAAGAAAGCTGTTTGATAAGGTGAGTAGTTTTGAAACTGATTCCTTTATGTATTTGTGGCTTAATTGTTGAATTTGGATTTCGAAGATGTTATAATGTTTTAAACAGCAGATAAGCTGTTACGGTTTCGAATCTCTTTCTGGGTAAAAAGGATGCAGATTAATGTTTTAAACAGTTTGATTTATGATTATGTTTTTGAGGATCTAAGTGAGTTTTTAAACTACCGTTGGTTATAAACTGTGAGCTTTATAACTATTGTTGATTATATGCTATTAGTTTTGATGTTGGTTTTGAAGAGAGGATGTTAAAACTATTTTGATAGTTTTAAGGTGTTATTGTTATTTTGGGAAAGATAAAGAAGAGATTGCTTCTTTAAAACAGTTTTGGAAATAATATCCTGTTTT